AACTATCAAAACGCCTGCCATTTGAAATAAATAAATTTTGGAAATTACTATCAGTAAGAGCACAAACATTAATTTCAATTCTTAACATCTGCCGAAAGAAGTAACTTACAATTCTTTTAAATTTGTAAATCATCTGTGCAGAATTCGGTTGAATTCATCTTCAAGATCCCCACAAAGCCGCCAATCGGGCTGATAGTTGCATCATCAAATGTGAACACCATTTTACAAAATTTGCCGAAAGTCTCCCCATCTGTCGCTCAATTTTTATATATTTTTAGCTCTGTGAATAAAAAAGACGCATTGAGTGAAATTGTTAGCCGGTTTTTTAAGGAGAAGAACACCAGTTATCTAAAAGAACAAAAAAAATTTTTTGCAAATATTCCACCTCTAGAAAATAACCAGGAAATATACTACAAAATTTGGAAATTATTGGGAGTTTAATTTAGGTAATATTTCAAATCTAACCGCAAATGAATGAATTAAAAATACCTCCATAAAGACGAAATTTTTGTAAAAAGTTCGCACGAAAATCAATATCTATTGATTCTTGCAGCTTTAGAGTAAATCGAATTGGTCAACTATTTCCATTTCCAATATTCTATTTAATGATACAACCAATCGAAGAATGTCAATTTAACAGTAATATTTATTTATAAAAAATGGCAGGCGTTTTGATAGTTATCATTAGCCCCTTAGTTAAAGCGTTTTGATGGTTATCATTAGCCCTTTATTTGACTTCTGGCTTCACAGAGGGGAGGAGGAACATTTGAATTCTTCACAGAGGGGAGGAGGAACATTAAAGTGAGAAGAATTCGGGAGGGAGAATAGAAGAGTGATTCACAGATGTAAAAGAAACAGACAGACACATTAGCACAGATAGGGTAAGATGAGTACTGTGGTAGGGGTCGAATATGACATACAGTGGGGGTGATGGTAGTTTGAAGTGAGAAGTCAACTGCCGGTTTATAGACTTTTTTGCCTTATGATTATACGTTGCCCAGGGTGCACCACGATGAGGTAAGTCTATCCCACACCTGACTTCGGTTGAATTCTTGCTTCAAACAGTAATATTATCTGCATTTAAAAGAAAGACACTTCGTTTTATAATTTAAACTGAATTTTAGTGGATTCCATAAGTAATTTGTCAAATGAGAACACCGTTTTGTTAGTGAGCCTGGCAGACGAATGTTGAACTTTGCTACTTGAAATAAATGAACTAATTTAAAAATAATGAACATTATTTGATTCCCTTATTTACTTCCCTACACCCTTCAATTCCTATTGTACTGTTTTAAAACATTTGTTTTAAATCTTTGAAGTTTTATTCAATATTTCGAAGCCGTCCTGTGAAATAATAAATGCAAAGGCCAACTGGTCATTTAAAATGTGTCAATAGCCTTCATTTGTGGAAAAAAGGTAATGCCATTCTTTTTTTGAGATAATACTTTAATAAGGTGCCACCCATCGACTATCTGCCACTTGGATCACATGTTTGCCCTAATTTCAGGTGTTATAATTACGCGGAAAGTAATTAATGAAGTATTGGGGTCTACCGTTTCACTGTGTACTTTAATTTCAGCCCTCAAAGTCCCCAATTTATACTCTTTTGCACTAAAGTTAACAGTTCAAAGCCAGCACTCGGTATTTTGCAAAGATGGCCGCAAAATTGAATGTGACAGCTTAGATTAAATAGGCAAAGTGGCATCGTTTAAATGCATTCAAAAATATCCCAAGTGGATGGGAGAGAGAGAGACAAAATCTCAAATCAAATAGATCCGTAAGATGAATGTCAAAGGGATGAACGACTCTCGCCGCTTTAAAATTTACAGAATGCAACCTCCTTGGTGAGAAACTGGAATTCTGTCATCCTCTATACCAGCTGGGCCTAACAAGTGTGATTGGCCCGATGTAGGTCAATGAGAATCGAATTTACAACTTCCGGTATTGGAGGCCTTTCATTTAATGATGCTGTCAGAATTTTAACCATGAGGCTGATGACCACAGTTCAATGCTTCCTCACACTAAAATTATCCGGCCACACCACTGTCTCCTCACTGTATTGTTGTGGTATAGTTCGCATTTGCCTATTTATTTTAGAATATTTTTCCATTGAAAATGTGCGTAGTGACGACGCTTTCAACTGGCCAAACTCAGCCTACAACGATGACTAACTCAAATTGCATGCGAAAAAATATGCCTTTTTCTGGGGGTGCATTTCTCAGCAAATATACATTGGGAGCGCCTCTCCCACTTCAATACTGCCTCCATCTACCTAAATGGCAGGGAGACATTTCAGGTCTAGACAAGCCCTAATCAACGACGTTCAAAGTCAATTTAGCCAATTTGACATAGACCAAAAACAAAACACGTTATACTGCTTTAGAAATGGGGGCTTTAGCATTGTCGCAGAGGAATCATATTCAACCTTTGTAATACAATAATCAGAGTGCAGGGGAAATGGGAAAACTTATGGAACTTCTGTCTTAAATCTGTTGTCCATCGAATTGTTATATTCCATCATATTTCTCTTCGTACGGAAAAAATGTGACAAATCGATAATTGATATCCTAAATAATGAAAGGGTGAAAAGGTGAGTTGAGCTCGATTTGACACTGAATCATAATTCAATGATAATTATAATTGTAATGGTAATAGTAAAAATAAAAAAAAACAAGCCCATCCGTGTAGGGTTGAAATTTGAGGGGAGAGCCAAGTGGGTGTGCGATAGACTTACCTCCACGTGGTGCACCCTGGAAATATGCCTTCACTATCAACATCTTATTTGGAAGCGGAGGGGTGTGTGCGATAGACTTACCTCCACGTGGTGCACCCTGGACAGCGTGCGATAGACTTACCTCCACGTGGTGCACCCTGGGCAACTTTCAACCCTTGCTGGTTTTCTAAACAATTATTCTTAAGAATACGATAGACTTACCTCCACGTGGTGCACCCTGGACAACGTACTTTCAAATGGCAGGCGTTATGATAGGTATCATGGGGTGTGCAATAGACTTACCTCCGTGGTGCACCCTGGGCAATGTATATTTAGACTTACCTCCACGTGGTGCACCCTGGGCAACGTATATGCATCCGGCAGAAAAGTTTATTATTCGGCAGCTGACTTCAGACTACCATTGCAGCACTGTATGTCATATTCAACCACTTCCACAGTACTCACATTACCCTTTTCTCCCCCTTTTTGTCCGTCTCCCTATTTGCATCTTTGAATCACTTTTCTGTTCCCTCTCTCGACTGCTTTCCACTTTGTCTATTACCTCCCCTCTGTGAAGCCTGAAGTCAACAAAAGGGCTAATGATAACTATCAAAACGCCTGCCATTTGTTATAAATAAAATAATTTAATGAAAGTATACAATGCACTGTCAATTTGAAAACTGTAGATATTCCTTATGGTTTTCCCATACACTGATATTGTCAATTTAAGTTGAAGACACTTGGGAAAATTCGGGAATTGCATTCAGCGTTTTGGTAATTTAAGTATCATACGAACCGGCTGGAAAATTATCGTTACCTGCTAGGCGATATTCCGATGATAATTTTGTCTCTAAAATAATTTTTAATGATTTTTCCAATTACGATTAAGTTAATTTAATTAAATTGAGACTGGTACTTTTCGTTGCATCTGAACTTTGAACCTATTGACTGGAACACATTTTGATCACTATTGACAAACAAATTACCTCATCTTCAATCAATAAAAGACTTTAGCCCAAAAGATATTTCTCATATTTATTTCTTTTCGAATATTTATTTATTTCAAATAGTAGGCGTTACGATAGGTATCATTAGTCCTTTAGTTGACATCGTGCTTCATAGAAAGAGACACAGCAAAGTGGCAAAAAGTCGAGAGGGGGGACAGAATAATGATTCACAGACGTAAAAGAGACAGACAGACACAAAGGAAGAAAAAGGTGAGTATTGTGGAATTAGTAGAATATGAAATGCGGTGGGGTCTTGGTAGTTAATAGACTTTTTTGTCGTATGAGTATACGTTGCCCAGGGTGCACCATGTGGAGGTAAGTCTATCCCACACCCCTCTTTCCGAATATTTGATTAGTTAAATGGTGGTTAGTTAAAATTGCCCATTTAAATTGATTGCGGCTACGGGATTTCAACTCGAAACGTACCAGTGGGCCAATGAGAAACCACCTTTTCCGAAATCTTGTTTGGAATTCATTTACGCACGCTTTTCTACTGAGGCTAGCTTCAAGATAAATGACAGAAACCCCTACTTCTCATTTTCACCTTCGTCAATCTCACGATCAGTGCACGTCCCTCCCAGAACCTTGGGTTTCAGTCATTGCCCCACACTGCAATTATCAGTCGTTATCTTATTACAGGCATTCNACTAGTCGCACGATCTGCTCCTTGCTCAGGCACCTGCCGACGGTCTCCTTTACTGTGATGACGTCCACCTCCATCGCCTTTTTCCTCATCTTCCCCTTCGGGGTGTCGATGGCTAGATCGCTCTTTTGTTTGTCGACTCCTTGAAAACGAAAACACCAATTGCACTTAGAATAAATCATCTCGCAACAACAATCAGATCAAAGTGGTGTTCAAGGTTAAGGAAAAAAAGAACACAAAAAAAATTGTTTGGCATTTGTCTACAGAGAAATGGCGATTTTTATGCTTTCGCAACTTAGTGAAGAGCGTTCTTATGCATTTTTATTTGTAATGGGTAAAAGAGCTTTTTTCTGGTCAAAATAACGCTAAGTGAGGCTAGATAACAGAGATTTCACTTCAAAATTTACACATCTAGTAGTTTGGACACCATGTGCTCTTTTTGTCCGCAAAGAAGTACCATAATACGCGAAAAGAAGAGTTTTGGAGAAGGCACTCCAAATATAGCTAAGGACTTTGAACAAATTTATATTATTATTTTGACTTTTCGAACCCGATTTGCAAGTGACGGTTGATGTACATAGTTTCCAGCGCCAATCAACCAGCGGATCGAAGGCTGTTTGCATCTGCCGCTTCACGTAGATAGGGAGTTGTCAACTTTTGCCAATCAAGATCTATTATGAGACATTTCAGGCATGCTGAAATGAGGTACATCAGGGTATTTCCTGGAGCGTAGATTCTTAAATATTAATTTTGAAGGTAAAAGTCACAGTGACAGCGTCCAACTTTATCTCTGGAATAAAGGTGCTATATTTCCGATAATGGATGCCACGAAGTTGAGATATCCGGAAGGATGTCCCAAAAAATGGATGCAGATTGAAAGTAATTGTAAATGTGGAGCTCAATTATAATTTAATTATTTCAAAAGCGTAAAAATATTTTACAAGTATAATTTTATTGCTTTTCACTTCTCGTTCTCAAATTGGCGTCAATTTCGATCCAGACACTGCTGACAACGCCAATCAATGGAATCGTCCACACATCATGAAATAATTCCCTTGGGATTTGGACGCATTCATGCTTGATGGCTTCTCTTGATTCAGTGACTGTTGGAGGTCTCGTAAAGTTGACTCTGTCATTTAAGTATCCCCATAACAAAAAAACTAGTGTAGTGTGAGGTCTGGTGAACGGAGAGGATATTCAACAAAACCTCTTCATTCAATCAACCTGTTTGGCAAGACCTCATCAAGGAAAGACCTAACGTGGAGTTGTTAATGTTGGGGGTGCTCCGTCTTGCAGAAAGTAAAATCCTTCATCTTCGAAGTCTTCTCCATTGCTTGGCATAACAGACTGCTGCAGAAAGTTCTAGTAAATGAGACCGGTTGCATTGCATGCATTTTATGTGGGTATATAATTACTTTTGGGACACCCTGCACTAAAATTTGATTCCATTGAGGAACGCGGTGCAAGATAGAGGCCTTAGAAGTGCTCAAATGGGCATAGATTTTCATTCCAAGTACTAAACATTTAATGCGTGTATGTCTTTCCTTTCATGCAGTGTTAGGAGATAATTGGCGAATCAACCATTTTCACTTCAATTTTCCTGAGAATGAATAAGCCCCCTTCCCCTCCCCCCACCCCCCACCCCCCAATCAATCTCCACCTTCTTCTCATCGTTATATATTATCCATCTAATATGCAAATATACCGACACTCAATTAGCATACGGTCAGCACCAACTTGTCCTTTTCTCACTGTGACTCCTTTACGCACAAACACACACAAGTGTCCTTTCGCATTCTCAACTCTCCCTCCTCCCACCCCCAAACCCCCCCCCCCACCTCCTCTTGTTAGAAAAACTCGGCCGAGCAAGAAAAAGAGAGTTGCAGTCCCCAACACGCAGTCATGCGTACCACTTCACAGCCTAAATTCAAACTGCTTGTGTGAGTGCGTGCGTGCGTGCGCGCGCGCGCGTGTGTGTGTGTGACAAAGTATGGATTATTCACTAATCCCTTCCCAGTGTTGAATGCTTGTTTTTCTCAGGGGTACTGCGAAGAAAAAAAATGACGCATAGAGAAAGAAGTCACATCAACAACAATATGAGAGAGAAGCACAAAAAATTCGGACCTGAAATTAGTTAACTGATGCGCACACAACTGGTCTTTATGCACAAAAAAAACACAAGGACTGAAGTAGCTTAAGTTCGGAAAGCGATAGTGTGTGTGTGTGTAAACATTTAAACAAAATATTAAATTAGAGGAGGGAATACGCGCAATATTTGCCTTGAATGCTCGACCTGGTTGATTTGAATGCAGTGTAGTCCAAGATGTTAATTAGATGTTCAAACGACTAACTTTCTTCTACTTCATTCTATTTTTCTTTAGCCACTTCTCAATGCTACTTCAAGGATGCTTTCAATTTCATTCAAAGTGGGTTCTCTTAGCAAAGGTGTGGTACCAGTGTGGCCTGCATGTTGAGTTGTGGTATCCCTGTGATGGTGGAACAAGCTGTCAGCGTCTCGAACATCGTATACGTCATCACAACTGACCTGGAGAGCAGACACCGGTAATGAAGTGTCTGCAGTTTTGCCCACCTTTCTCACGCTAGTCTCCCCCCTTCAATGCCTCCTTGCAGTACCAATCTACTACGTAAACCATTGAGGTGGAGGGGTGGCATAATTTATAGGTTGATTCAAACTCAGTTCTCAGCGAACGGTCGCTGATAGGGAAATAGGACCAGAGGTAGAACAAGTACCTCTAGCGGAAAGCCAATGAATTCCACTGAAGCCTTATGACGTCTTAGTTCTACTACGTCAAAAATGACCTCGATTATTTCACAACCCACCACCCAATGGTAGCACAATTAATGTGAAGAGTCTTGTTAACCTGATCTCCGAACGTACTCCAATTTGATCTAAATATTCCAGTTTGTTAATTATTTTACCGTTTTGTAAGTTCACATCCCACCCCTCCCACCTCTCAGAGTCAAAAGACGTGAATTTTTTTCAGCTTTAACATGGGTAGAACAAAAACACAATGACAAAAATTACGCCATGGAATCAATTAAACAAAGAACTTTCCAATGGGATTTTATTAATAGGTACAAATTTGTGTTAATAAGAGAATAGCCCTTCAATACACCCCGACATTCACACCTTCCAAGGACGTTAGACAAGAAAGTGGTGAAGAATCGTTATCAGAAGTACCTATAATGACCCTTCCAATAAAGTAAGCAACGATATGCACTTAGGAAGTTCTTTAAATTGGAGTGAATTTTTGATCAAGATTCCATATTCTCACACAGATGAAATCGAATTGATATTGATTAGTGATTAATTCATTCCTTCCACTAGAGACTAAATGCAGTGAGATTTAAAATATCCACGAAACAATTGAAATTCCACACTGCACTTAATTTCAATATCCTGCCTACCTCCTAAGCAAATTTATTAATTAATGAGATAATAATCTAGTTGAATATGAGTAATTAGTACTGTTGAAATATTCGAGGGCATTTGAAAGCTACCGGAGTGATCGGACTGAAGTCTTGCGTAATTGTCTCTTCATGCTATGGTGGTAGGAAACCATTGACGACTGCAAGAATACAGAGTTTATTAAAATCAATATTAATATTCATAAATCGATATGTCATTCTGTGTGGGTGTGTTAGAAAGAATAAATTAAGATGGCCCAAAATGGGTATTTAAAGTAACCAGTATTCCGTCACAATGCAGAGGACTAAGAGTTGAGGAGTTAGAATGTCGAAGGAAATAAGAATTTCTTCCTCCTACCCTATTCCATACTTTCCATTGGAAGCTCTTCTCACCCATTACTGTCAACAAAAAATCAATTATTTGTGGAATAACAAAACGTCTTCTTTCCTTTTACGTCACGGAAAGTGAATAGTTCTTGTAATAATCTATATTTCAATTAAACAGAGTGTTTACATTAAATATAAAGAGTGTGGAAATTACAACTTCATAACTTCCTTTTAATTCGAAAAATTCTCCCCTTTTTAGAGCAAGAAAAACGATTTCGCAAATAGATAAACATTGAGCTCGATTTCGATAATAGATAATCTAGTAAATAGATGCCATGATTAATTAATCAAGTGTCTAGATATAAAAAGAGCTTTAGTTATTAATATAATGATGCATTAGTTGAGAGGTAGATTATGCAGACCGAACAGTCAAACAGATTCGAAATCAAAACACCCCCTTTTATTTAAGGACTCAATGCAATCAAACTATTAGCGAGTACGGGTTGCCAGTGGATTTGTGGTTGCCAATTCAAATCAACGCGCCTGATAGCTCAAATGAATAGGCAAATACAACAAAAAATCAAGTTCTACCAACTCTCTTAACAAATTGTTCCCCTTTCAGCAATGAATTTTTTGCGTTAAATCAGCTTCCAATGAGGGATGTGCGATAGACTTACCTCCACGTGGTGCACCCTGGGCAACGTATACTCATACGGCAAAAAATGTCTATTAATCGGGAGTTGACTTCTCACTTCAAACTACCATCACCTCACTCTATGCCATATTCGACGATTATACAGTACTCACCTCACCTTTGTTCTACCTTTGTGTTTGTCTCTTACATCTTTGAAACACTCTTCTGTTCCCCCTCCTCTCGACTTTTTCAGTTTGATATTCCTTCCCCTCTGTGAAGCCTAAAGTCAACTAAAGAGCTAATGATAACCATCAAGACGCCTGCCATTTGATATAAATAAATAAATAAGCTTCCAGTGACATAGTCCGTCATTTCGATTTCACGACTGATAGATTGACGCGCACTTAAATGGGTTTTGATTGGTCTACCACATACCTAACCGGTCGACGAGTGATATATCGTGTGCCATCCGTTCTCTTCTTCACCACCCACTCCATCAGCGGACGATTATTGCCCTGGGTCCGATTCTGTGAATCACCGCCGTTGCCAAG